TTAATGAGGGAAGCAGGAAAGGGAGACAGTCGAGTTTATATGTTGCGTAGTGTGCGGATATATCTATAATGCACACATTGCAGACGCTGTGGAAGCAATATAATTTATGATTTCTACACATTCTATACTATATGCATTAATATTATTGTACTATGTATTAAAAGCGATGATGTGACTTAAGTATCGAAGACAAAATATGATAGGAATCACCGTAGAAATTTATTAAAATAATATTGACCTAAAAAAATAGTAACTAATAATTATTAATGAACAGTTATTTGTTTAATAAACGTTTATTTTACCGTTGCACACATCTGTTTATGGCATCGATACTACATTATTAAATGAGGAAAACTTGAATGACGAAATGCAAAAGTTCATGACGTCATGAACTGAGCTGACTGTTAACCAGCCGGGAATCACAGAGTCGTAATATTCGTAAGTGTCTCTGAAATTTCCATATAACTGATAATTTTTTCGCGGGTATTCACACAAATTCAAAAATAATGTACATACAATCATTACTATTAAAGTGGTTCTTTCATGACTCTCGAGTCAAAGGTGTGACTGTCAAGTTGATATTTATTAATGCTGCTTATATTTTAAATGATTGTTTGTTAATATTGTTTATTGAGAAAAATTAAGTACTGATTCAAAATTTTAAATCGTAATATACGAGATAAAAGTTCGTAGGAATGAGTATCTAAAATTCGCGTTTCCAGCAGTGAATGCTTGCTTATGCTTTCAACAAAGGAAACGAAAATTATGCCTGTGTTTCTTTTAATATTTTCTGATTAAGTCTGTGAACATTCTAGATAGCAGTATGTTTGAAATTGCGCAAGCTTTATTGTGTTAGTTTTTTTACTTAATCACGCGTTCAGTAAACAAATAATTTGGCTACAACTTTCAGTAAAAAAATGCTTAGTTGCCATAAGAGCACATGTTTAGAATTTAATTTAGTTTTCATTTATCATTTTCTTGCGTTTATATTCATCAGCCTACTCTAAAATTTTGAGCGGTAGTGTATTATAACTCAATAAATGATTCCTCAAGATTTCATGCCATTCTGTTCATAATCATTTCATGAAAAAACCACCTTAACAAGTCACTCAAGTAAATATCTACAACGAAACTTTGTATACCTTTTTAAGTCACTAGCGTTACTATTTGCAACGTCAGGCTAATAACTGCATAGGCTTGTGGAATACGATGATAGATGTTATGCAACAGCTATACATACATCTGAAACAACTGTTAATATAGTCTCTATGTTTCTACTCTAACATAGTTAATAATATATCAAATAAGATGTGTAACAGATGTAACAACAAGATGAAGTAAGATTTCCTTCCTTTACATAAATAGAAAAATACTTATATTATTTTTAATTTTTCCTTTTTTTGTATTGTGTAAAAAATGTATAATGTCACAATATTTTTTCAAATGACACATTTTCTACATGTGAAAAATATTTTTAATAAAATGTTTAATAATATACCATTCTTAAGCTTGATGATTCAATAGAACTAAATATATTCCAGGTAGGCATAATTGTATGTAATGTTTGTGATAAAATTAATATAAAAGGCACCGAAAATCATACTTTCCAGTATGACTCGTCATGTCTTTACAAAAGATATGCAGATAAACTTTGTAAAATAAATCAAAAAAATCATAAAAGAAACTGTACAGGTATTGTTATACTACAAGAAAAGTACATAAAAGTGTGTCACGAGGAATCCCAGCGATACAAGAATGCACAGATTTTCCTTCTGGCTTTGATATAAATACAGCTCACCCAACTGAGAGAGCCAGTTCACATTCGCAGTCGAGCAACACGTCAACATGAAGTACCTACTCTCCACGCTGATCCTTGGCTTTTTAATGAGTATAACTTTAGCAGAGTCTGGAAAAATAACTTGTGCGAACGTAAGGTGTGCTGGAAGGTGTATTGACGAACCTACAGGGCCCCGATGTGTACCTGTGGATTGCTCAGTATTGTCCTGTGCACCGGGTTACTCGTGTAAGAACGGAAGGTGCCAAAAATCTCCTGTCACTTGTGCTACTGCCAATTGTCCGAATGACTGCATTGACGAGCCTTTGGGTCCCAGATGCGTACCAAAAAATCCGTGTGCAACCATAGACTGTCTGCCTGGATGGCGATGTGATAATAGTATCGGAAAATGCGTGAAGGTGACAAATTAACGAGCATAGAGTTGATATGTGTAGGTACTTAATGCTTTGCAAATAAAAATTTTTAAAATAGTCGAAAATCAGAATTTCGGCAAGTTAAGTTTTTTCAACTTTCTTTCTGCTTCTCAATCAGTTTAGTATTTCAAAAAGTCTCACAAATACTAATAACAACTTATTTATACATTCTTAAGTACATCGTTTCAGTCAAGTGCGTAATTTCCTTAGTGTTACAGTGTACCTTTACTACAATTTATTTATATTAATGTTATGAGCGAACGTTATAAAAAAAATCACATTCAGTATAGTTGTATACAACACTTGTACAATTATTACTGAAAATTACTAGTATTATATATGAATAAATTGTATTACAACTTTCAAGGTTTTTACTGTTGTGGTTTGAATATTATTTTATTTTTCAATTCCTTTCTTCAGCACCTTTTGTATCGATCTTTTTAATAAATGTTTTCGTCCTAACACTTAAAAAATGAATTTTTTTTTTATTTTAATAGTCGAAAAACAGTTTTATAACAACTAAGTTTCTTACATGTCACTTGCGGACAAAATAATTAAAACTTATAGATCGACGGGTGGTCGAGATGTTCTTAAAAAACATTTTTTTTGTGCTTGCCATTGCGATCTGTATTATCGTCTTTAACATAGTAAATAATTAAAATCGTTTTGTAGTATGTAATTTTTTTATTTTATATATAGTGCCAAATTTCTAATATACTTAAGATCTGTGTGGATATTATATTGAACTATAAAAATAATCACAAAATGAAATTTAGGGCACTAGAGAGTAAACTGGAAAAAACAGTAACGCAAATCATGTGATTTCCTGAGTAGACAATTGTGCAGGAACAGAGAGACTGCGAGACTGGTTGCATATAGTGCAGGTTTTTCCTACACAGGCAGACGGGGACTCCCCGCCAGAGAAAGGCAGAGAGTGAATAAGCACATTAATGAGGGAAGCAGGAAAGGGAGACAGTCGAGTTTATATGTTGCGTAGTGTGCGGATATATCTATAATGCACACATTGCAGACGCTGTGGAAGCAATATAATTTATGATTTCTACACATTCTATACTATATGCATTAATATTATTGTACTATGTATTAAAAGCGATGATGTGACTTAAGTATCGAAGACAAAATATGATAGGAATCACCGTAGAAATTTATTAAAATAATATTGACCTAAAAAAATAGTAACTAATAATTATTAATGAACAGTTATTTGTTTAATAAACGTTTATTTTACCGTTGCACACATCTGTTTATGGCATCGATACTACATTATTAAATGAGGAAAACTTGAATGACGAAATGCAAAAGTTCATGACGTCATGAACTGAGCTGACTGTTAACCAGCCGGGAATCACAGAGTCGTAATATTCGTAAGTGTCTCTGAAATTTCCATATAACTGATAATTTTTTCGCGGGTATTCACACAAATTCAAAAATAATGTACATACAATCATTACTATTAAAGTGGTTCTTTCATGACTCTCGAGTCAAAGGTGTGACTGTCAAGTTGATATTTATTAATGCTGCTTATATTTTAAATGATTGTTTGTTAATATTGTTTATTGAGAAAAATTAAGTACTGATTCAAAATTTTAAATCGTAATATACGAGATAAAAGTTCGTAGGAATGAGTATCTAAAATTCGCGTTTCCAGCAGTGAATGCTTGCTTATGCTTTCAACAAAGGAAACGAAAATTATGCCTGTGTTTCTTTTAATATTTTCTGATTAAGTCTGTGAACATTCTAGATAGCAGTATGTTTGAAATTGCGCAAGCTTTATTGTGTTAGTTTTTTTACTTAATCACGCGTTCAGTAAACAAATAATTTGGCTACAACTTTCAGTAAAAAAATGCTTAGTTGCCATAAGAGCACATGTTTAGAATTTAATTTAGTTTTCATTTATCATTTTCTTGCGTTTATATTCATCAGCCTACTCTAAAATTTTGAGCGGTAGTGTATTATAACTCAATAAATGATTCCTCAAGATTTCATGCCATTCTGTTCATAATCATTTCATGAAAAAACCACCTTAACAAGTCACTCAAGTAAATATCTACAACGAAACTTTGTATACCTTTTTAAGTCACTAGCGTTACTATTTGCAACGTCAGGCTAATAACTGCATAGGCTTGTGGAATACGATGATAGATGTTATGCAACAGCTATACATACATCTGAAACAACTGTTAATATAGTCTCTATGTTTCTACTCTAACATAGTTAATAATATATCAAATAAGATGTGTAACAGATGTAACAACAAGATGAAGTAAGATTTCCTTCCTTTACATAAATAGAAAAATACTTATATTATTTTTAATTTTTCCTTTTTTTGTATTGTGTAAAAAATGTATAATGTCACAATATTTTTTCAAATGACACATTTTCTACATGTGAAAAATATTTTTAATAAAATGTTTAATAATATACCATTCTTAAGCTTGATGATTCAATAGAACTAAATATATTCCAGGTAGGCATAATTGTATGTAATGTTTGTGATAAAATTAATATAAAAGGCACCGAAAATCATACTTTCCAGTATGACTCGTCATGTCTTTACAAAAGATATGCAGATAAACTTTGTAAAATAAATCAAAAAAATCATAAAAGAAACTGTACAGGTATTGTTATACTACAAGAAAAGTACATAAAAGTGTGTCACGAGGAATCCCAGCGATACAAGAATGCACAGATTTTCCTTCTGGCTTTGATATAAATACAGCTCACCCAACTGAGAGAGCCAGTTCACATTCGCAGTCGAGCAACACGTCAACATGAAGTACCTACTCTCCACGCTGATCCTTGGCTTTTTAATGAGTATAACTTTAGCAGAGTCTGGAAAAATAACTTGTGCGAACGTAAGGTGTGCTGGAAGGTGTATTGACGAACCTACAGGGCCCCGATGTGTACCTGTGGATTGCTCAGTATTGTCCTGTGCACCGGGTTACTCGTGTAAGAACGGAAGGTGCCAAAAATCTCCTGTCACTTGTGCTACTGCCAATTGTCCGAATGACTGCATTGACGAGCCTTCGGGTCCCAGATGCGTACCAAAAAATCCGTGTGCAACCATAGACTGTCTGCCTGGATGGCGATGTGATAATAGTATCGGAAAATGCGTGAAGGTGACACCTTTGACTTGCGCAAATGCCAACTGTCCTGGAAACTGCATTGACGAGCCTTTGGGTCCCAGATGCGTACCAAAAAATCCGTGTGCAACCATAGACTGTCTGCCTGGATGGCGATGTGATAATAGTATCGGAAAATGCGTGAAGGTGACAAATTAACGAGCATAGAGTTGATATGTGTAGGTACTTAATGCTTTGCAAAGCATTTGATATGACAATATTTTTGTTGTCTTTATTTGATCTATAAATAATAATTCTTACAAGTTATCATAGAGCGATGTGGAATATCTGCAGCTTATAATAAAATACTAGGAGCACGAGCATCAAAGTTTCATCAAATTACATTCTCTATAAAAAATTTTTTTTGTAATTAGTTTATGATTTTGTACCTTTAAAATTGATGAACTTCAGTCCTTGTATTGGACACGACTGTTTATTAGCATATAACTAATTATACCATAGCTACGAGTTGAAGTGAGACAGATTCAGCAACGTAATTTTTATCTACTAAAACCACCATGTACTATATTCACAAATTTTGATCTTAAACGACTCTAAGTAAAGAATGTTTGACTTTACTGATTGTATGATTCCTTGGCAATTACTAATTTAATGCTTAAGAATAAAAATAACTACTCAAAATGAAAAAACCATGTATTGCCTGAATTACTATCCCTAAAACCTCGTATTTACCTTTGATGAATTACATTAAAATCAATTGCTATTACAATATATTTGCCTATTTGCGATACACGTTATCTTATATACCCATACCTAAGAAAACGCCGACTTTTTTATTTAATCCGAAGCTGAAAAAGAACTTACAGACATGTATACCAACCAAAACCTAGGGGACGGAAATAAATATTCAACTGAATCTGGGTTCAAAACTATTTAAAAGACAGTTATACTTCTATACCTTATAAATTAAAACTATTTAAATTAAGCTACAACTCGATTTCACATATACATATTATGTATACTATGTTTATTCTTTTTTAAATTTTTCATGGTATGAAATTGAAGGCAAAGTAACACATGATCAGAAGTATTGTAACGATTTGCTAAACAATATTTAGTTAATATTTAATAAGAAATATCCAATAAAAAAAAAATTAAAATTGATAAGCCATCAAGTTATTTATTCAACTGACAAGAACATTAATTTCTCATACCATTCCATAGCTGTATTCATGGCGTAGCAACAGCATTGCTAAATAAAGAAAACTTGAACGATGACATTCAAATGAGGCTTCAAGAGATCGTTAGCTGAACTAACTATTAACAAGCTGGGAGTCACAGAGTTGTAAATTTTATATAAAGTATTTCATATACTCCTCTATAACGGATACTCCCCGAAGACTTCACGCGAAACTTGCGATATTTTTTCTTATCCTAGCTGTCACGATTTATAACGTTAAGCTCCCGATCGGAGCTCAGAGCAGCAGAAATAAACTGTTTCTACTTGAACAAGTTCTTAATTATAAGAAAAATCGCTAATTTTTTTGAAGCAGTTGAAAAGAAATGAAGAAAATATGTTTAACGGTTCAACGACTCGTGTAAATTTAATTTATGATTAATAAAACCTGACAAATATAAATCACACGTGTCGTAAATGAATCATTGTGATGCTAAATATGTGATGCAGGGAAACTTTACGAATGATATCAAAAGCACATAACTAATATGAGGAAAAAAGCTGATTCAACGTCACGAGAAGTATCAACAACGTAAACAAGTGTGCACTGGTTCTCCTTCGAGTCGCGATATAAATACAGCTCACTCGACCGAGAGACTCAGTTCTCTTACGAGCTTTGACGCAAAAATGAAGTACGTACTCTCCGCGCTGATCTTCGGCCTTTTAGTGAGTATCGGTTCAGCACAATCCGGAAGAGCGACCTGTGCGTCATTGATGTGTGTTTGGAGATGTTACGTCGATCCTGTGACTGGTCCCAGGTGTTTACCCAGGGATCCCTGTGCGACAGTTAAATGTTCGCGGGGATGGGCGTGCGAGACTAATTCAGGAAGTTGCGTGAAGGTGTCGTCGTCTAGGACCTGTGCTACCTTAAAGTGTCCTGAAAACTGTATTCAGGAGCCTTCAGGTGCCATTTGTGTGTCATATAATCCTTGCGCAAATATATTCTGCTTAGTAGGTCAGAGGTGCGACAACAATGTTGCACGATGCGTCAAAGTATAATTTTATCGAGTATCCGGTAGAACCATGTGTACATTGCAAAGATGAGAAAGTTTTTTTTTTTTTATTCTTTAATATCTCATGCATGATCCATAAATGACAATTTTTCTAAGCTATAACTAGAATTAGTTAGATGTATGCTACGTACAGTCAGGAGCACAATTTGGGGACACAATTACGTAGAGCCAAGTCTTAACGAGAAATAAATTCTGTAAGTAATTGTCTAATAAATGTATTAATTTCAATTACGTAAAATATTAATGTTTTTTTGTCATCCCATGTTGTGTAATGTTGGAAAATAAAATTACTACTACTAAAAATAAAAACACCATTCTATATTCTCTCCTCCAACTCTTCCTTGGAGTTACTCACAATGGCCATAAATCAAAATTAAGTGCTGATCCATACACACCCTACTCTTGTTTGTATACTTTTTGTCCAGTGTACACACCACACGAAGAGACGCCGATACAAATTCCATCCCGTATCATCGTACGCCCAAAATACAGATACCATAACCAAAATTTAGGGGATGCAAATAAATACACGATTCTCTCACGGCTCAGTGCTATCAAAGTGACAATAAGCCTCGTCCCCGTTATAAATCTCGGGGCCATTGTACTACACTCGACGTATCTTATCCTTGATACACCGTCATTCTCGCGTGCAAGGGAAAAAAAAAAAAAAAAAAAAAAAAAAGAAAGAACAGCGCGCCTTTTTTCCAAAAGCGCGCCTTTTCAAGCCGATTCCAACCGAATCATCGGCCCGTGAGTCGAACAAGAGGTTTCTTTGATGCCTCGCTTTCTCTCCTCGAAAAACACATTCTTCACCGTAAAAAAGTATCAAAATTTAGAAGACCAGGCAGTTCTTTTTTTACCAGTTCCTCTTCTTGGGGGACGTTTTTTTCTTCGTTTCACAGTATGCCGGTGACGATCGTACACACAGACACGGCAAGAGGGAGATAATTAATGAAGCCACCAAAAACCGAGGATGATATTGTGCGGATGCAAAGTGCAAATAATCGTCAACGCGCGATGCCCGTGAAATTTCAGCACCCCCTGTCTGGTTGCACCAACAGAGAAAAGAGCCAGTCTTGCGGGAGAATTTAACCAAACGAAAAAACAACCCGCGAAAGATTCCCGACCCCAACGCGACCCACCAAACTGTACGTATATATAATATATGGTAAGGGTCGAGAGACCGCGTCTATTTACCCGATCAAAAGAAGCGCTCCGGACCGCCTCCGTGGACGCTCGTGTATATATACATACATATACGTATAACCAACCACCCCGAGAAGAATCATTTATCTCCGAGTTAGTCACGCGACGACGCGGAAATCGTCAAGCGTCGCCAGCTCCCCCTCCTCCCTTCGAAAACTTATTGGTTCAACAGCGGCGCGCTCCTCTTTCCTAGAAGCGTATACTTACATCTCTCCGTTTTCGATTCTGCACTGGAACTGTCGCACCTCTCTCTCTCTCTCCCATGATTGCGCACAAAGTTCGGTTGGGGGGGGGGGGGGCCTCTATTATTGAGCATGGAAAATCGATCTGTGCGGCGCGTGCGTGAAAACTTGTGACTCTCTTTTCTCTCTGCGCTCATCGTTCCGTCTATTGATGCGTGTACGCATACAGGTATGAAGTGTCACGCTTGACGGGACGCACTTGAAATGCGTCGCGTCTTTTACGAGAACAACGTGGATGTAGATTTTTCGTCGGAAAAGCATCCATCATTTTTCATAAACTGTCGGCACGGAATGGTTTTCTTCCTTCCTCGAGACATTCAGTTTTGAGAGTGTATTGTTTGTAAAATGAAATAAAAAAAAAAAAAATAAAATAAAAAAAATCTCGCACCATCCACGCCTGCAGATATACATAGACGGAGTGAGTGTTATAAGATTCACAAAAGTCGAGCGAGGAAGAGGGTCGTGAAATCAAGTAGGTATTCGGAAGGTCGAAAAATCGAAGGGAAGCCACAAGTTCTTCCTTCGTGATCTCCCTTGATACACAGGTACTCTCGATGGTTGTATTGTAAAACGGAGCATCGTAAAAGCCTCCCTCGTATATATACATACATATGATACGCGAGCGAAAAAAAGAAGAAGCAGGGGAGGGGACAAGTAGGAGAGGCGCCGCCGCTCGTAATTGAAAAATTTCAATTTCTGAGTAGGCAACAACAGGTAATAACAGCCACCCGACAGCCCACATGCATGTAAAACCGCTCGCTACGCCGCGTGTGTGCTAATGCAACAGCCCATAGAGTATGCCGCACGTGTGGAAGAGATAAAGGCGCGTGCATGCAGGGATGATGAGCGAAGGAAGTGGAGAAGGAAGAAGAAGAGAGGTAGGTTAAGGAAAAAACAAAAAGGAGGAGAGAGAGAGAGAGAGAGAGAGAGTGCAGTAGCCAACACCTTTCCGAATACCAGGTGCACCAGCGTTGTTCTCGTGTGATGTGGATGTGCACCTATGCATAATACGCGGCTCCCTCGTACACGTATATATATATATACACGCAAGGAGGGCCACCTCCTCATTTTCGTTTTGGCTGGCCCTCGCATGGTCCCGAGACAAAGGCAATAAAAGAAGGGCTACGCGTGAATCTTCGCATAATATACCTGCGCGTATTAGGCGGGCGCGTGTGTACGGCACCGCTTGATTCGATCCACCGGGGCCGCACGATGCTCGCGAGGGTGTGAGGCTTAGAAAGAAAGTCGACGGGTGTTGAGAGACCCTACACACCACATATATATATATACCTACCTTCGTTCGGTGTGCGAATTGCTTTTTGCCTACCCTCTTTTCTTTTTTTCTTTTTTTTTTTTTTCTTCCTTTTCTCTCTTGATCTCGGGGGGCGAGCGTGTAGGTGCTCGCGATGGCGTTGACGAGAGCGAAATAGCGGTACAGCCGAGAGGGCGTTGATTTGCATCTATTTTTCTTTTGTTTTCGTCCCACAGCCATTGGCTTATTATACCATTCGAAGGAGTTTTATGAGATCTGACCGGGGATAGGGGTATATCACGCGCACGCACGAGGGTACGGGCGGCCAGGTGCGGGGTACATATTTTACGTGATGCAACTTCTCTCTGGTTGATGGTACTGTTCCAACGAGCCATGTGATACGTGAGTGTAGTTTTGGGCTATTGTTACAATTCTTACCAACATTAAAACTAAACATTATTTATCAAACACTTAACTTTAACCTCGTTGATGAACTTTTTCGTGAGTCTCGTTTCGGGTAAGGGTTTTTTCGATAAGCCATAAAGGCACGTACCAATGTACGACTCGATAGAAAAGCCAAGTAATTGGTGCTTGCCATTGTTTTACGTCACAGGAACCATTACATAAAATGTATACACAATACCCTCATGTTTCTTCACGAGTGTAATGCACAGTGTTTATTTGTGTCTCGGTCAACCTCACTGAGAAACTTGTTCAAATAAATACC